TGCTCTTTCCTATGCTTGAGGCAATGAGCATCTGAGTTTCAGTAATGACTGTTTTGAAGCTGTAATGCAAGAGAGGTGAAAAAGAGGCAGGTTCTCCTAATCTCTGCCTGTTGTTTTCTCACCGATTCGAGGAAAGATTGTCTCCAGCAGTTTACTCTGCCCAGCTTTCACTGTTGCAGCTACCCTACAATTCACGTAGTTCTCACAAAAAGAACAAAAATAAGAAATCTGGTGGGTTACCTTCCTTGTTACTGCAAAAACACATCAGAAAATTGTGATTAAAAATTAAAAAAAGTTATTGTAGCCACTTTACTAGCAATATCTAGAAGGTACCACTAAAACTGGCTGGGAACAGAAAGATTATCTTCCTAAACTTAACAGTTAGAAAGAATATATTTCAAAAGTGCATGGAAAAAAAGAAGTAAAAGATAGTACTGCACAGTAGTGAAAATCAGCATTTACATTGTTTTGAAGACGAAAAATTCAATGCATGTATAGACTAAATGTGCTCCTCCAGGACAGCTTCCTATTATTCACTATGATTCAACATGTTTTTCAGTCCTTGGTTATGCAAGTTAAACAAAAATTGATTAAGAGAATCCTCAAAATGTTAACATTCAATAATACCATATAGTTCTAGCAGTAGTAGAAGGCTACACCACATAAACACAACAGTCAGCTTGACAGATAAGTAAATTAATGTTTATGAGTCTCCACTTCATGGCCTGTGCTGCTGGGAGAATCAGATGGATAAACATGACCTGACAGTCTCTGTGATGTGCTTCCTAAAGGGGCCATCTTAGATGAACAAAGGAGACCTAGAGTCAGGTTCCTGTAAGACTGTGCCTGGTCACAGGGAACCTAAAAGAACCCAGACAGGTAGAAAATGCTGGCTGGAAAGTACTGCTGTAATAGCAGAGACAGAAAAAGCTAAAAGGAATAGATTTGGAAAAATGATAGACACTAGGATCCAAGTTTAGGAAAAAAATGGCTGTGTCAAGCGTTTTGGGGAAAACCTGTTGATTACGTTAAAATCAATGCAAGTTAGAAGAGTTATTTAATAGTTGTACAGGCCTGCATGAAGACACACATGTTGGAAAAGAAAACAGAAAAGCACTGCAGTCACCCAAGTCCATAGTAATTGCTTCTATGTAGTACAACTGCAAAAACATTTCAAAACAAATAACCAAAAATCCTAACAGGTCATACTTACATTCCAGATACTAATGACACTTTGAAAACATGTTGAATAGAAGACGATGGATTGCCTAAAGCCACATTAAGTGCTCTGTCAATGCTGAATGCCACTTGACGAAGATAGTATTCTGGATGCTGTCCAAAACCATCATATGGTACATAGAGGTAAGGAAAGATACCATGTAAGTGGAGACAAGTCTTCTGACCTAAAAAGAAAAGGTAAACATTTATTTTCTAATGACTGCATCTTTTTCTTCTTTCAAGCAGTCCCTAAGTTTGAATTTTTTCAGGTTATTTTCAGGTTCTGCAGACAGGATAAATTTATGAAACAAGTTCAGGTGTATTTCAAACCAAAGGTACCAATTTAGTACAGTACTCACATTTGATTCGTTGACAAAAGCAATACAGAACAGATGGGGTTACATGACACACACAGTGACAAATTCTGCTGTTATACAAGCGTAATCCTAACAATTTTCTTTATAGTAATAACACAACACCTCTCTGAGAATAATTTTGTATACTGAGTCAGGTTTCTCAGCCTTTGTGAAAATTCTGCCGTATCAAAATTTTTCCCATTGCTCACTGGGATAAGCATACAACCTCTCAGAAACTAAAAAGAACATCCAGAGCATCTAAGAGGCCATTCAAGATTCTAGTTATTAAGGCATAAGTTGGGATATGGAAAAACAACAGGTGACTTTCAACTTTTTAAATCTGTGGATCCCTGAGAGGTGTCTACAGCATATGCAGATCTCTAGCCTTCTAACAACACACTTAACTTCTCAGCATTAGCTTTCATGAGTCTGCAGTAACAGCAGAATGAAAAAACACACCATGAAAACCATTGTACTAGACCACAGCTTGAGCTTCTGCTTCAGACAATGCAGTACAGTGATGGGGAGTGGGATCTCCCAAACCTACCATGTTTTTTGGGGGGGCTAGTCTCAACTGTAATGCATGTTCTCTTCTTTCCTCACCACAATACAACACAGCATGCACTCACTGCTGAAACTAACATCAGGTCCTGCTCGCCACCCGTCCAGCCCCAGAAATCGTTCATGACTTCTCACTGGTTAATGAAAAAGTTTCACAGAAAAATACTATATGAACATGTCACTGATTAACCCCCACCACACTATCTATCATTAGATAGGCCAAGTATATCATCTTGCATTTTGTTTGGGTAAACTCCCTGCATGAAGATAGCGAAACAGTATCTAAAGGCAGTGCTTTCATCAACCAGGAGATAAATATTACAGACAAAGAGGCAGCACAACTTCACTGGCCCACAAGACCAATGAAAAGACTTCCAAAAGTCCATTCTTTCAAACTGAGATTATTTCTCAGCAGGTGGAACTTGCCTGAACTATTTACACTCATTCATACCCACATTAGTGCACCACTGGCCACCCAGTGAAGACAGCTGTAAGTACATTTAAGCATAGGAAGAACAGAGTTTCAGAATCAAGTCTGCTTCCAAATTTTTATACTTGTGAAATGCATGCCTCCAAATACCATAAACAGGATAGCATTTTTTTTTTCCTGGGGGTCATATATTGTTCTTTCTTCAAATATTTATCAGACCTTCACATAGCGCCTAGAAGTGAAAGAAAATGCTCTAAGGATGGTAGTACAAGTCCATTTTCCAAGGTTAATTTTATTCTTCCTGTAAGTCACCCCCATCAAGTCTTTTCAGCAATGTTTAAATGCAAGCTATATATGCATAATGTTGAGGTCATCATCTATGATGAATTCTGCCCATGCTTTTAAACTATTTCAGGAGAAGAAATTTCTTATTTATGTATTATGTATTTCAAATAATAATACACTAAGAAAGAGAGGAGACTAAAGAAAGAGAAACTACGAACCAGAGGGGTTTTTTAATGGCAAAATACAGGACAGTAACAGCTTTATATCGCAGGAAAACCTCTGCCCCCGTAATGTGGGAGAAGTAATTTATTAGTAGCACGTGAACTGAGAGAGTATCGATCTGCGCAGTGGTAGCAGACCATTTATTTTCTGTACTGGGTCACCAACAAATCTGAGTGTTTACTCATGGGTGTACTTAAGACTGACTTTGAAATAAAGGATTCCCTCCCCCCAATATAATTAACAGAAAATTAATAGTTGTTTAAACCTCCACAGTTCCTCTACTGAATTTTTGGGGGGGAGGGCTTTGGAATTTTTTTTTTTTTTTTGGTTGGGTTGGAATGGGAGGGGTTGTTGGGGTGGTTGTTTTTGGTTGTTTTTTTTTAAATGTATGCCAGGATCATGTTCAGGGAGAAATTCAAATGAATTCATACATATTATTTGTCTGAATGCCTACTGAAGCTTTCAAAAAGCAAGTGAACAAACCAACCCACTCCAAACTAATTTTGATATTGGACCTACAGACTAACAATTTCTGGCAAATATATAGGTCTATACCCCCACGAATTTTATAAATTCAGGTGTTTTCTACCTACAGCTTGTCAGTCAAAATCAGTTCTGCACTTACTTTTTTTTATACTAACAGCTATGAACTCTTGTTCTTTCTGACAACACTTTAAAAAAATACCTTTGCTTTAATGGTTGCCCAACTACTCTGAGTTACAGTTAATTTATGTTTCCCCAGAAACAAAATTACAAAGCCCCAGACTAAATAGAACTGGAGTACAGTCTAAACTTACTGTACTTAAATTCAGGTTCCTTTCAAGTTATGCAACACAATTCATTAATAATGGTTTTATAGCTAGCACCTGATTATTCAAGTTAATTAAATTAAAAAAACAATATATCCATTTCTACTGCAGCTATTTAACAGTTCTTGCTGAACTGAAATGTCATTTTATTGTTGAATAAAAATGAACATGTACGAAGAAAGCTTCCTTCTATTTCCTTCTGTCCCCGTCCCCTGTACTCCCCTCTATGTGCAAAAAACCCATGAAAAACACCATAGCTTTCAAGTGACCAAAGACTCAAATTACCACCTTACTCCAGGGAAAGCTTATAAAACATACACACTGAGCCGCTTTTCATTTTTGATTCTGCCAAGAAAGCAAACAAGCCACCGCTGATCTAAGACTCCTAGTAGGCCAGCAGCTGTCAAGTTACATGCGTTTATACAGCTACTCACTTTGATCTTTGTTAGTATTGACTCATTTACCATGATATTTGGTTATACTTCTATTTTTATTTACAGTCCACATTACTACAAGTCTTACCCTGCTAGCGTTAAGAACAGAACCATTTGCTTCCATCATTTATGTAAAAGCATCAAATTGCACCAAATGTCACGGTGTTGAGTCTGAAGCCCGGACTCCAGTAATAGCAACCACAGTTTGCACTAAGCCATTACAAATTCTGGTGGATTCTTTCCAATAGAGCCACAAGGAGAAAACAGATCTACCCACTGAGGATCTCAGGCCACACAGGCTCAACAATTAACATAAATTAAAAACTTGGCTTGGGATAAGGTTAAGAAGTTTTATGCTTTAAATGTGTCAATCTTATGTTTCTGTTTCTTTTCAGAGATACAGACAGAAGCAAATTTGTACCACTAGAACAGCAGAAACAGCTACAGTGACCAGCAGATGTTATTTTTATGTTTCCCCAGAAACATTTACATCTATTCATCAGTTTCCTTTACATCTGTAGAATCAATGGAAGTGGTGCTCGACAGCAGATTCTGCAGAAAAGCCATACGGTTTATATGATCGCTCTCCTCAGAATTTCCCAATGCAAAACTGGATGCCTGGAATTGATTCCCAGAGTTTTCAGATGGGACAGGCCACTAAAATGTTTCATGCTGTGGCCTCATCATGGACCTACTGCGCACGTGTATCACAACCATTCTATACACAAGCAGTACATATGATGTCCCCATTAACAAATGAACATAATGAGCATGTAAATGCTAGGACTGGTGGTGATAATAGGTTATCAGCCAGGAGGAGGCTGCTGCCCAGACAATTTCTCTGGCCCACACTCTCTTAAAGAATGGGGTCTGCACTGGTTGAATTATCTGCAAATCACAGATCAAACATCCCAGTGTATGACTCAAGGGGGTTGCTGAGTAAACATACAGAAATCTAGAGGTAAAACTGAGACTTATTCACACGTCTTTTTCAGGCACTGAATGAAGTGGTGAATGAAGGAACACAAAAAGTGCTGCTATAACACAGAAAAGAGGCAATACACAAAACCTTGAGATATTATGAGATACTCAACTAGCAAACTGGCTATTTTCTCTGAAAAGAAGAAACGAAACTCCAAACTAAATGTCAATATAGATGAATAGCCATAATAATAATGAGTCAATACTTCAAAATAATATAAATGCAATATTTTCAGACAGTAAAGAAAGTGACGCCACTCCCCAAATCCATACTTAGCAAAAGCAAGCAGCATAAATGTTACTGAAGTATTAAACCAAAATATAGCATTTTGCATACTTGAAACCCACAAGAGATTAAGAAAGCCAGCCTATTTTTCTGAAGATGGTTGCCATATGCATTACTATTAGGAACACGTACCAACCACAATCCTTGAGCTACTGTATCATTTAAAATATTAGAAGAAAAATCTGTAGCAACCCGGAGACAGAAAACTTCAATAGAATTAGAAGAGAACTGAAAGCAGTATGATAAAGGAATGCAAAGTTGCTCAACAACTACTCAGGAAGATGCAAGAACTGACGTCCTCTGACCACCAGAATGCTCAGCCATACAGGATGATCTAGTATGGATAAAACTGAGATGCAATCTATACAGAATCACAGAATGGCTAAGGTTGGAAGGGACCTCTGGAGGTCATCTGGTCCAGCCCGCCCTGCACAAGCACATGAACACCTAATTTCACACTACAACAAGCTAGAGAACCTGAGGATTATTATTCAAGTGTCCTCAGAGAAGTGCTTTTTCACCCTTTGAAAAAATTGATTTTGCTTTAAACTTCTAAAAATTTCTTTCCGCTAAAATCAAATTGGACAAATTTCTGTAGAAAAGAAAAATTGTGAAAATTATTAATAAGGGACTTTACTGTATTGTCCATTTCAGGAATAAAGTTTGCAAGCAAGTTAGACAAGGAACACCTAAAGATTCACCACAGCTAGCACATGAAAATCTGTATATGTATTCGAGGAGGAAAAGACAGAAGTCCATCTGTTCTGGATGTTGTTCCACACATAGATGACTACCTGCTGGCTCATATTCCAGCAAGGGGAGAGCTCATGCAGATACTGCCTCCAGTTATCTCCTCTGGAACACTCTCATGGGAGGATTGTCTGAACAGAACATGTAGATGATCCTAAACCAATGCAGTTTATAGCCTAGAATATTAAAGTACACTGGAATCTACTGAGCCTACAAGTCAATACGGAGGTCAAGGCACCCCAAGGAAACCACACACACCAGGTTGTAGGATCTGTTCTACCTACGAATAGCTAAACTCAATGTTTTCACATTAGACTGACCTAACCACAAGGCTACAGGCAAAGCTTTACAGACGTGAATTTGTATCACTGCAGACAGGAGTGCAAGATTTCTACAGTAAGAATAAGAGCCTGACTTGGCAGCTCAGGGGCGTTTCAGCTTCAGTAATGTTTATGCATTAGATAGGAAGATTCTGAAATACAAAATCCCTGCATCTGACATTTCTAATAATGAATGAGAGCATGTCCTACAGTTGTGACACAGTTTTACTAACTTTTTATAAATGATATTGAAGCCATTTAGCTCCTATCCTGTAATTCTTAATTTAGGAACGGACTATAGAACCCTCACAAACTGAAGTCAATACTGGAAACATTTTGAATAGACATCATCTCATCTCATTTAGTATTTAGAAAACTGAAACTAAATCTAGGTAAATACGACTTCAGAAAACAATTCAATGCTGGTCTACATGCAAACATATATTGCTGATATTTCTGCCACAGAACAGCTGATCCCATTATAAGAAGCTAAGCAGAGCTGTGGGGAACAACTACATGGAATCCACTCCTATATCATAGAATACCAGGTTGGAAGAGACCTCAAGGATCATCTGGTACAAACTTTCTTGCTAAAACCATGGTCTAGACAAGATTGCCCAGCACCCTGTCCAGCTGTGGCCTTAAAAGTGGCCAATGCTGGGGAATCCACTTCCCTGGCTGATTGTTCTCACTGTGAAAAATTTTCCTCTTGTGTCCAATCAGAATCTCCCCAGGAGTAACTTGTACCCATTACCCCTAGTCTTTTCCATGTGACTCCTTGTAAAAAGAGAGTCTCCATCTTCTTTGTAGCCACCCTTTGAATACTGGAACACGTGACAAGGTCTCCCCTAAGCCTTCTTTTCTCAAGGCTGAACTAACCCAGTTCTCTCAGCCTTCCCTCATATGGCAGTCTTCCCAGTCCTTTAATCATCTTTGTGGCCCTTCTCTGGACCCTCTCAAGCCTGTTCACATCTTTTTCGTGTAGCAGGGACCAAAACTGAACACAGTATTCCAGGTGTGGCCTGACAAGTGCTGAGTAGAGTGGGATAATGGCTTATCTGTGCTGGTGATGTCCTTGTTGATGCAACCCAGCATCCTGTTGGCTTTCTTTGCCTTAGCAGCACACAGTTCACTCATACTGAGCTGCTTGTCCACCATGACCCCCAGGCCCCTTCCCACAGAGCTGCTCCCCAGCTTGGTAGATCCCAGCCTGTGCTGCATTATGTTTTCCCAAGACGTTACACTTGTCTTTGTTGAACTTCATAAGGTTCTTGTTAGCCCCCTCTTCCAGCCTACCCAGGTCTTCCTGCAGGGTGTCTCTCCCTTCCAAAGTATCCACTTCCCCACTCAGTTTGGTATCATCAGCAAAATTCATGAGGGTACACTTGATCCCATCATCCAGATCACTTAAGAAGATATTAGACCGCATTGGGCCCAATATCGATCCCTGGGGGACCCCACTTGTGACAGGTTGCTAGTTTGAAAAGGAGGTATTTACCGCACCCTCTGGGTGCAGCCTGTCAGCCAGTTCCCCACCCACCACACAGACCACTTGTCCAGGCTGTAATGTATCAGTTTCTCTAGGAGGAGGCTGTGGGAAACCGTATCAAAAGCCTTCGAGAAATCCAGGTAGATGATGTCCGCTGCTCCCCCCACATCAACTGAGCAATTTACTTTGTTGTAGAAGGCGATCAGGTTTGTCAAGCACGATTTGCCCTTGGTGAATCCATGCTGCCTTTTCTCAATCACATGCTTCCTCTGACTTGTGGCAGCACCCAGGAGGATTCGTTCCATAACTTTCCCAGGGACTGAAGTAAGACTGATGGGCCTATAATTTCCTGGATCCTCCTTTAAGCCCTTCTTGTAGATGGGAGTGACAGTAGCCTTCTTCCAGTCTTCTGGAACATCCCCTGATCTCCACAACTTCTCAAAGATTATGGAGAGTGGCCTCACAACAATGTCAGCCAGCTCTCTTAACACCCTCGGGTGGATAACGTCAGGGCCCATTAATTTGTAGGGGTCAAGCTCCTGTAATAGTTCACACACCAACTCTTCCTTCACGGACGGTGGGTCTGCGTCTGCATCAACCTGGATTTTTGCTCCCAAGCCTGGGGTCCAACAGTGCTGGTAAAGACAGAAGTGAAGAAAGTGTTGAGAACCTCCGCCTTTTCAGCGTTGTTGGTGACTAACTCGCCTCTGCTTCTGTTTCTGCTGCTTGTTTACGTACCTGAAGAACACTTTCTTGGCATTTTTGACATCTCTGGCCAATTTCAATTTGAGCTGAACTTTTGCTTTTCTAACCGCATCTCTGCACACCCTGGTAATGCACTTGTAGTTCTCAATGGGTACTTGTTCACTTTTCCATCTCTGGTATGCTTCTCTTTTGGTTTTGAACAGACTCAGAAGCCTGCAGTTAAGCCAAGGGGGTCTCTTGCTCCACCTACTTCCCTTACCTTTACAGGGGATGAACTGTTCTTGTGCTTCCAGGAGAGCGTTCTTGAAAAATCCCAGCACTTGCTAGCTCCTTTATCCTCCATGGAAGCTTCTCACAGAATCCCTCCCAACTGAGTTCTGAGTTAACTGAAGCTTGCTCTTCTAAAATCTAAAACCTTTGCCTTAGTATTAACCTTCAGCATGCTCAGCAGCATCCCAAACTCCACATTATTGTGATCACTGTAGCCAAGGTTATCACTAACCGAGATATTACAAAGCAGGTTTTCTTGGGTTTGTGAGTAGCAAGTCCAGCAGTGCTTCGTTCCTGGTTGGCACATCTAATATTTGTATGAGGAAGCAGTCCTCTACACATTCCAGGAACTTGATAGATGACATGTGAGCTGTCGTATTGTTCTTCCAACAAATGTCTGAATACTTGAAGTCACCCATGAGAACCAGGTTCTGTTGACCTGAAGCTTGCTTAAGTGACCCAAATATTGCTTCGTTGGCCTTACTGTCTTGGTTTGGAGGTCCATAGCAGACACCTACTGTATGATCCCCCTTGGAGATGACCCCTCTGATTTTGACCCGGAGGCATTCAACAAGGCTTCCACAATGGCCAAAGCTGACTTCTATACATTCAAGGTTCTCCTTAACATAGAGCACGATGACTCCTTCTCCTCTTCTTCCCTGCTTGTCTTTATGAAACATCCATCATGATCCTCCAGTCATGTGAGCTGATCCACCATGTGTCAGTTATTCTCATGATACCAAAACTTTCTGGCTGGGCACGGAGGCCCAGTTCCTCCCATTGGTTCCCCAGGCTGCGTGCATTGGTATACATACACTTGAGGTGGTTGGTCTTCTGGTTCTCATCTTGGGAGGCAGCTAAGGAACATTTGTCACTGCTCCGGTTGGCCTGCCTTATTCCCCAGTTGGTTGCAATGGTGGGAGCATTGACACTTTGGACCCCCCTGCCCCAAGTCCTTCAGTTTAAAGTCCGCCTCACCAAGTTGGCCAGCCTGCTGTCAAAGATTCCCTTGTGTCTTCTAGACAGGTGGATCCCATCCCTCCCTAACAGGCTACAGTCATTGAAGAATGTCCCGCTGTCATAAAAGCCAAACCCCTCACGACAGCACCAGCCATAAAGCCAGAAGCTGATTCGCATTATACATCTATTTCTGGCCGCATTATACATCTATTTCTGGCTGCACCCCTTCCTCTAACTGGTAAAATGGAAGATGAGATAGCTTGGGCACCAATACCTTTCACTTGCACCCCCAGGGCTTTGCAGTTGTCCTTGATTCTGTCCAGGTTCCGGCTTGCAGTGTCATTCGTGCCCACACAAAAGAGTAGCAACGGATAGTAGTCTGTGCTCTTGACAAGTTGTGGCACCCTGTCGGCAACATCTCAGACCTTAGCTCCCAGAAGGCAGCATACTTTTCGCGACTCGCTGTCAGGCCAGCAGATGGGCACCTCAGTGCCTCTTAATAGACAGTCACCCACTATGAGCACCTGTCATTTCTTTTTGTGGTATCCACTGTGTGCTGCTGGTACAGTTTCTCCTTGCAAACCTTGCTTGTGGGTGTCTATAGCTGTGAAAGTTTCATACCTGGTTTTGGTTGTAATGCTGGAGGGTGGGGACTGAAGCAGAGTCCTGGGTCAACAGGATCCAAGGTGCCTCATTCTCTGTGGTGTCTGCCACAGGAGCACAGTTCTGACACCACTCATCTATCTCCATCTCGGCCCCTCTAATACTGCGCAGCCTTTTAACTGTTTCCTGCAACTTGGCCACCTGACGCAACAGATCATCAACCTGTGCACATCTTTTGCAGGTATTTACCTTTTCTCCAGAAGGGTCTAGGCACTAGTTGCAACCTACTGTCTGTACTGAAGTCTCCTTCCTTACCATATGTAAGTGAACAACCAGTTTTGTTGAAACTCTCCCTAAAACTGTTATTTTAATTGCTGAACTATGATCCATTTCTCCCAGACAATTGTAAAATACAATGGGGTGGGAGTAAAAAGGAGAATGCAGCAGCACTTAAATACATGGCAAAATCCCAAGATTTTAGGAAAATTCTGGCTGGAGATTAAAAACAGATGCAGAAGATGGAAGAAAAAGAGCTTTTTATACACTTGCCATCTATTAAAAGTACCTTAACTGCAGTTTTGTAAAGTGGCAGGACTAATTAAACATGGACAGTATTAGCAGAAGAAAGCACGTGAACACATGAAGCGTGTTGCTGCAGGATGCGGAAAAGGCTAGACAGTCATAAGGGATTTCCTTCCTTTAACAGCAATAGTAAAGCAAAGTCATTAGAAACCAAAAGATATGATACTACCATCCTTAAAAGACTAATAGGCATTTTCAAATAACCGATGAACCATCTAGATTAAAAAAAACCTGAAAAACAAACTGTGGGAAAAGTAACAATCCTGTTGGAAAAACAATTCTAAAATGAAAATTTCTAAATGGGATAAATATTAGAACCCAATTTCAAAGTAATTTCTTTCCCACAATAAAAACTACCATACCACAGGCAATCTCACTTACACTTTCTCCAGGAATAGGCTTCAGAGAGCAACATCAAGTTGTAACAGAGCATCTTCTGCACAGTGTAGATGGTGCTTTAAATTTAAGCTATGCCGCTCACTGGACTGGGCTTGTCAAGACATTGATCACTGAATGTCACTCAGAACTGAGCTACTGAAAATGGACAGGACTCAATTACTTTATAGTGCTAATACTGTCTATGAAATTAAAGTCGCCATTCTTTATCTCTCTCACAGAAAGCAAATAAATCACGTACACGGACTGATACAAGTAAGGTAATACTTTGATGAAGACAAATCCCTTCCCTAGCGAAACTTGGGAAGGTCTTTCCCTCTTAAAATGTTTGCTATGTCATTCAAAAACATAAGAGTTTAATGTTTTAATGCCAAAGAGTTCTTTAGTAGCATATTACATTAATGTAACTTCTTCAGTGATTAAGCGAAACTCTCAACCTTTTCCCAGAGTCCTGAAACAAGTCAGCTTTTTTCCAAGGGATGAAAAGAAAGTGAGGACTACACACATTGTAGTCTTAAATACTGGATACTAGAGAAACAAGAATAATAAATTAAGGTCTTTCAGCAGCAAGATAACCTCAAAACAAAATCAAGAACAGAGGCCAAAGACTGTATTTCATATATTATACCATATATTTGTACCAAGGCTTTCAGTTTTAGTCTGGCATGTGAGAAAACACTTACTTCAGTAAGATTTGTAAACAGGACAGAAAAAAATATTTTCAATTAGATTTGTTTTAATCCAAATGGGAGTGTTTGGTTATTTACAATTCTTTAGTCAGTAATTGTTCCTTTCCTTGTAACATGTAATACCTCTACTGTCATAAAAAGAAAGCTTATCCACTAGGAAAGTGAGGGCCTGTGACTCATTACAACTAGATTATTCCTCACCCTTGACGTAGAGATCCTTAGAGAGGGAGACAGGCTGGGTTTTCCATCTGTAATTTAAAATTAGAAATCTCTGTATAACTAGGCACATACTGAAGTAATACCTAGCCTAGAATCAAAGAGACAACAGTTCAATTCCCATCTGGGGAGACGCCATGTGTGGCCTTGGGCAAGTTACTTGCCATAGATGATGCACCTTCTCATTGTGAAATGGATACAACAGTACTTTCCTATCTGAAAAATCTGTTAAACGGATAAATATACAAAAGGAACACTCTGAGACAAAAAGAAAGATGGGTTCTAGGAGTACACAATGGCTAGGAAGACGTAGGGCAAAGTGTTCAAACAAGCAGCAGTATGCTATTCAGGATATTGCCATGTCTGTCTCAGGAAGCCTTCAAGAAAGGAAAGCAAACTTTCTTAAGTAATTTGTAGGCCTAGAATCACACTATTGAACATATTCTTCTTCCAATAGCAGGCCCCCTCATCCTTTTTTATCTTACACTACTAAACCCTGAAATTGTACCCAGCTTTCTT